TTTATCAGGGACCCCTAGAGGTCGCCCGATAGAACCCACACACCTTTGCCACACAACAAGCCACGAACACCGAAATCGAATATCTAAAAACACACCTAGCCAACACTCCAAACAAGTCTTCCAAAAACCGGATCCTTCTTCCTGAAGCCAAGATGAAATCCGCGGAAGAAACTTCACTTCATCTCGAACGCCGGCTGCGAGAACTTCATTTTCGTGCTTGATTTGTGAAACCTGTGAAATTATCAATTTGTTAACAAGTGCGAAATAACATCGTTCCTGGAGACTCAGTCTCGGCCGCAAACGGCCTATCGCGCATTTCTTTCATTTCACTGAAAGTTTATTTCGTCATTGACCTAAGGGTCTCTGACAAAACTGGTGGCCAGTAAGTGTGTGAAGAACACTTCTGGCAAAGTTTAAAAAGACCCTGAAATTTCATATCCAAGTGCATAAGTGCATCACAGCCCTAATTTCCAAGTGCTAACCTTTCAAATTCGAGTGATCTCCCACAAATCACCCCAAAGAATTCAAATTCCTACATTACATCCTCATACAAACCCCACAGTGCTATCCTTCCAATCCAACAAACTCGCTACCTATCCACATTTACTCAAACATCCAGCACCATGCCACGCCACGGACCATTATCCTCCAATTCCATCACACGCACCTCTGGCGTATCACACCACACACCTCCAATCGGCGAAATTCCATCCTCTGACGCCCTCAACATCCCATCCACGTCCAATCCACGCCGCGGAACCACACGTCGCCCTGGTCGACCGCCATTACGAAGACAATCCTCTACACCACCACGATCTCCTTCCGTTCGCACTGACGACACATCCTCCACATCTGCTTCACAACGACCATACCACAGCATCCGCAGAACCACGAAACGCCTCCTCACAATTGCTCAAGCCATGGTCCTAGGAGACAGAACGTATACACAATCAGCAACCCCCAACACACAATCATCCTTTCGCCGAATCCACCGCTCCCTTATCTCTGCTTCTGAACCACGAAACGCCTCCTCGCAATTGCTCAAGCCATGGTCCTAGGAGACAGAACGTATACACAATCAGCAACCCCCAACACACAATCATCCTTTCGCCGAATCCACCGCTCCCTTATCTCTGCTTCAGCATACATCCTCAATCTACCCACTACAAATTGTGACATCCAAGAAGCTCAACAAATCCAACAACTTCAACGGGAACTCAACAATATTGCACTTCACACCCCTGATCAACTACACACAAACTGGCTCACACTACGACCTATGCAACACTTCATCCTTGGAGTTCAATTTCCTGTTTTACAAACCAACCCAGTACCCATTAACGCCTCTTCCGCACCACAACCTATACCACAAGACCCACCTTCGTTGCAAACACAACTACAACAACCACCTCCTCAACTCAGTAACCCACCTACATTAGACGTCTTCCAACCCAGCGTCATCAGCACACTAGAAACGGAAGAAGACGCTGATCCATATCCATCCGCTGTCCTCAGCTACGCCACCGGAACTCGACCCTCCCAAACATCTGAAAAATACGTCACCAATTATGAGAAACGTTCAGCACTTCCGAACTTCAAACAGTTTTCCGGACTACCGAACAGCACCTACACATTCGAACGCCTCTGGTCCCATTTTAAAAATGTACACATTCTTCCACGTGACTACATCACACCCGCCGAACGTATTCAACTACTCCTATGCCATCTCAGTGACCGCGCATTCGACATCATTGACCGCCACAAAGACAAAACAACAGAAGAAGACTATCTCCGCATACTACGCACACTATACCAACAATATGGCAACATTCAATCCCTTCGTCTTGCCCTCTACAACCAATTTACGGACCTCAAACCAACTGCAAACACACCTAACGCACTTGCAGACTATCTTGAAGACATCATCGCAATTACCGAACAATTAAACAATTTACGAACTAACATGCCACAGGTTCATACCCGTTTTTGGCCTCACATCAAATCCTTCCTACACCAAGCCGGGCATTGGACCAATGTCCGCTTAGAAATGCGATGTCACCAACAAAACGACCCCGCCGACACCAACACATGGAGCGAATATCCTGAAAATAGATACAAATGGATCAAAACATACCTTCGGTCCGATGACCCTGCTACAGCCACTGTTAACACACTTACATTTCTCACCCGACCCTCCTCATCAACAAACAAAAACAAAGATACATCCAAGGAGCGAAATAACCGCACTGAAACCTCCAACCGCACCAAACGATCCAGAAATTCCAAATCACCAGATCGCAACCAGCGACGACGCCCCTCACCATCGAGACGACGATCCAGAACACCAACCCGTAGACACCGTCGTCAATCCCGCAGTCGCTCCAGATCACCACATCGTCGATCTCGCCAATCCACCTATTCATCAGCCAGAGAACAACACACATCCAATAATCAACGATACAGCTACAATTGCCCCTTTTGCAATGCTGCACACACATCAACCACCTGCAGACTCACCATTGAAGAAAGAATCACAGCCACAAACAATCAACAGCTCTGCTACAACTGCCTCAGCTCCCAACATCATTCCACGCAATGCCAAAGCACCGGCAGATGTCGCAACTGCACCGGCAAACACCACACCGCACTCTGCAGAAAATCCAATAACACTCGCAATAACAATCATCCTCCATCATCATACATTCGCCAAAACAATTATCATAACTTACGCCCCAACCCACCATCCCGTGGACATTACAACAACCGCCCACAAAATAACAACCGTCCTCCTTACAACAACCGTCCACAATACAATAACCGTCAATACAACAACCCACGGTTCCAAAACAATCAAAACCAACAACAAAATAACCAGCAACAACAACAAAATAATCGAGTGAACCTCACCCAGCTTGTACAAGAGATCCATTCTCGCCTGCCAGCCCAAGCTGCACCTGCAGCCCAACCAGCACAACAACCTGCAGCACAACCAGCCGCACCTGCAGCCGCACCTGCAGCCGCACCCGCATGACTAGCACTCTCCTGCTCCACCTTCACGTCATCCGCATACTCTCTCCTTGAAACAGCTGCAGTACGCCTTTTTCCTCATGAAGAACCCGTCTACGCCCTCCTTGATTCTGGCTCTCAACTCACAATGATAACACAACGCCTTGTCAACCTTCTCCGTCTACCAACAAAAGAAGGAGATATCACACACGCAATCTCAGGAATTGGAAATGCAACAATCACATCTAACACGATTACCCAACTTCGCGTACAACACCGTCAAAAAGATTTCTCCATCTTCATTCAACTCACAATGATAACACAACGCCTTGTCAACCTCCTCCGTCTACCAACAAAAGAAGGAGATATCACACACACAATCTCAGGAATTGGAAATGCAACAATCACATCTAACACAATTACCCAACTTCGCGTACAACACCGTCAAAAAGATTTCTCCATCTTCACAACCGCCATTGTTGCACCTCTTCATGAACCCTGGACAGCAGAAAACCCACACAACCTCCAACACCTAAATGAATTCCGAAATCTCCTCGCTGATCCACGCCTCATCTCAGCTTCCAAAATTGAATTTGACATCATCCTGGGGGGCAAAGATCTGGTTCAAATACACGCTCCATACACAGATTCATACTGGAATAACTCAACCTTTCAAATCATACCAACACAATTAGGACTTGTTGCCAGAGGCATCTGGGAAGCCTCCTCACCCATATACACTACATATTATTGCAGCCATCTCACACTTGGCCAACCCAATAATACATTTGATGACAAACTCTCCAACACAATCATCAAGTATTTACACCAGGATTATGTGAACATCCTTGGGGATGACGACAAACTCCACCCATATCAGGCTGAACAATACCTGCAATACCTCCAAAAAATCACCATCAGCCCGCAAGGCCGCGTTGTCGCGCCACTTCTTAAGTCACACCTGTACCCTGACTATTGCACACCAAACACAATCACTGCTTCCACACGCAGCAAATCCGTCATCCAACTTTTGGAAAAAGGCGGACCCTTGGCGAAAGCGTACACCAAATTCTTTCATCAATGGATTGAAGATGGCATCATTAAAGAAACTACACTTGCAGAACTCCAAAATCACGGAACCCCATACACCGAACTACCACACCATGGCGTTGCCCGCCCCGAAAGCGCCAGTACACCTCTACGCGTTGTAATGGCCGGCAAAATGCATCAGACAAAGGCAAATATTCATGTAATCAACTCTTCATCTCCGGTACAAACCTCTTACCCGAAATCATCAAAATCTTGCTACGCTGGCAATTTACGCTGTATTTCGGAACCTCCAACATCAAAAAAGCATTTGTCCAAGTACAACTCGCCAAAGAAGATCAATGGGTACTCACAATACGCTGGCCCACGAAACAACCTAACGGCAAATACCAACCTACTTACTATAGATTCCTATGCCTCCCCTGGGGCATTAATTGTGCCCCATTCATACTCAACGCTGCCGTCCGCTACCTATACCTTCAAGCATTGAAAAACAACATCCTCACTCCTGCTGAACAAGAATAGCTCAACGACAACACTTACGTTGACGATATCTTTGTCACCGGTACAACTCCAGAGGAAATACACACAAAACTTCACAATGCCCAAAAAGCACTAGCCCTAGGGGCCTTTCAACTCACAAAGCAAAAAATCTCACCACAACCAGACAACCCTAATAACAACACCTACAAAGTCCTCGGAGTACCATATGACCCCGTCACTGATCTAATTGCATCTTCAGGGGCTTCTCTCCAAAAATTCCTCGCCCTCAAAACCCTTACATACAGGCACATCGCTGGCTTTGAAGCCAGACTTTTTGACATCCTTGGCATCGTTGCACCATTCACGGCACATATCAAAATACAACGCCAAACATACACTGATGCCCATCCCAACACATCATGGGACACCCCTCTCACACCTGAAGAAACAACAATTTGGCGAGACATCGCCCAACAGGCGCTGCAATGCCACACCCTTGCCATTCCACGCCTTGTCACTTCTACACCCTTTGAACCCGGATCCATACACATCTTTGCTGACGCAAGCAGCAAAGCCCTTGGCATTGCAATCTATTTTACAACAATCAAACCACCATTTACAACCACCCTCCTCTGGGGCAAGTCAAAACTTGTCCCCAAAAAGCAACGAGAAGAACCCAAACACAAACTATCATCGCCCCGCATCAACCGCTTGGAGCTCTCAGCAGCTGCCTTTGCTATCCGCCTCTACGCCATCCTCAAAACAGCTTATGACACCAGCCCATACACAATTCACTTTTGGACAGACTCCACTGTTGTTCTCAACTGGATCCAAAATACCAAATCCAAACCTACAAAATACGTAACAACGAGAACGCAAAAAATCCTACAACATTCCCAACCATCACAGTGGAAACACCTCCCCAGTGAGGACAATCCCGCAGACCTTGCATTGCGTGGGTGCACCGTCCACACTCTAAAAGACGCCACCCTCTGGTGGAATGGACTGTCCTGGCTTTCACACCCACCCTCATGGCCTCAACAACCAATATCAACAAAAACCTTCACTTCAGCTAGGGGGCAATCCTCCAAAAAGGAACAATATCTAAAAGAACGCTCCATAGTACTTGGACTCTTCAAAACCGCCAACACCTGGACCAAAGTCACACGCATCATTGCAGGCCTACGCCGAATCCAACAAGGCGCCAAAAACCTCAAAATCACATGGTTTAGATGGTTTGCGTTGGGGTTTCCTTTTTGAAATGTTTGTTGGTGTGTTGGTAAACGTGGACTTCTTTAACTTTAGCGTGTGGAACTTCCATAGGCGTGTTACGTTTTTATAATGTTAGTGTTGAAATGGCGTCTCTTACAATTCGGACAAATCATCAAAAACAGGCCCGACCTTTGCTGGGACCCTGACAAGAAACTCATCACATCCATCAGCCGACAAGCATTGGATACTAATACAACAATTCCTGAAACTCACCAAGCCCAAAGACTCCTCATACACCTACCTGTTCCCAAAAACAACCAAACTCCAACACTACTACGTGCCTTCATACGCAGCCAACATCTCAAACACAAACATGGATCAACCATGCTACTCCAACAAGAAATCACCNTCATACACCTACCTGTTCCCAAAAACAACCAAACTCCAACACTACTACGTGCCTTCATACGCAGCCAACATCTCAAACACAAACATGGATCAACCATGCTACTCCAACAAGAAATCACCAAAGAATACTGGTTACAGGGGGGCAAACGCATCATACGAAACATCATCAAAGAATGTCACTGGTGCAAACGATTCAATAACCCATCTTTTACACAAACCACCGCCCCTCTACCAGAATTCCGATACACCGGACACCGATCATTCAAAACAGTCGGCATTGATTTTGTTGGACCCTTCAATACACCAACAGAGAAAAATATCTCTATCTGCGTATTTACCTGTCCACTAACACGCGCTGTTCATTTAGAACCCGTTGACACCTTAGACCTTGAATCCTTTATGGGAGCCTACCACACCTTCTGCAACCGCCGAGATCTCCAGCCACGTAACATCGTCTCCGACAATGCCGCCACCTTTAGAGCAGCTTGGCCACGCTTCCTCCACGCCAATGAACAAGAACTAGTAGAAAAATTCACAACTAAACGAGTCAAATGGCACTTCAACACTGCACGTGCCCCCTGGTGGGGCCGATTTTATGAAGGCATTATGGGCATGATCAAGAACCGCCTAGCCCGTTCATTCCAAGGAATCCCCTTCTCCAACCCCAACACAGTCACCGCCGCAATTACCTTTGTTGAACGCGTTATTAACTCACGACCTTTAACATATTTACCCTCTGACCGAAACGATCCAATTGCCATTACACCCTCCATGTTCATCAACTCACCTCAAGCTGATTACACCTCCAACCCAGACTTTGATCCCTACTGCTATGGCCCAAATCCAATCCAGTTCCTTGAATACACAACACGCGATGGCATCACCAGACAAACACAATTTTGTATCGCCATCATCCTAGCCCTCTGGAAAACATTTTACAACGGTTATATCACAACGCTTCACCAATTTCCCTCCACAAAACAACCCAAACATCTAGAACACCTAGAACCTCTTGAAGGCCAAATTGTCCTCTTAAACCAAAAAGCATTCAAAAAAGACACACCTATGGGCCACCTCAAATGGAAGTTATGCCGCATCGTCCATGTTCACCGCAGCAAACGAGACAGAAAAATCCGAGCAGTTGATGTCCTAACATCACGCCGCTACAACCATGATGGCACATCCACTCCTCACATCCTAAAAAACCAATCCATTCAAAATCTTATTCCATTAGAAATTCCAGACCGAACTCCAAACTCAAGCAACAAGATCAACACCAAAAATGCTTCAAACGATTCTCTTCGCCAACCGTAAACAAAATGAACAAACACCCGTATTGCAAAGTACTAAAACTCATTATTTCAATGCGTCAACAAAGTATTGATCACTGACCCCGTACATCTCCTCCTCCAACCTTTCAACAAACAAAAAAATGCCAGCGACCGCCCCTAACCTCCCACCCCAATCTTTACACATCAGATACCCGCAATACGCATTACAACTGAGATCATCAACCAAACGGACAACCCCTACACCACCCTTTTTGCATCCCGAACTTCATCATTCAACACCAACTGTCAACCACCAAGTCCAACGACCCAGTATGACTTCTGGTGCACAACAGCCACCACCTTCTCCACACCTGTTGCCTTCACTATCACCACATCTCCCGGGACAAATCGACCATCCTTCCCACGCGGGCGAGTAATGGAGACCACCGAATCCGTAGCAAAGGTCTCATCATATCCACCGTCCAACAGCAACTCACATCTGCAAAATACACTTTGTCAACACCTCCATCTCCAAAAGAATACAACTTCACACTCACTCATCAAATGGGTTTGCCTTAATACCCTTTCCCCCGAACTCTACTTTTCCAAGGGCATCAAATAGACAAGGACAATAACATTGACGAACAAAATGCCTGTGGTTTGAATTTGGCGGCTTGCCCTCCACCGCCGTCCCATCATCTTTCCACATGGGTCCTTGTCCAGGACACAGCAAAGTTTCCTTCAATGGATCACCCGCCCTTATTGTCACCGCAAACAAGATCGCCGCTGCATGATCCCTTGCAAACCAGATAAAGGCACAAGGATTGATATGCCCAAATGATGAAAATGATGAGTATGACACCTTCACGTATCTTGTCAGATAGCTCAATGGAGTAGGCAAAGCCCACCAGCCAGGGCACGTATCCGTCTTTCCGATAACGCCACCAACGTCATTTTCCAACATCTTTGCCAACACCCTCTGACACATATTCGCTGCTTCCAACCTGGACTCCATTGACACAACAGATCCATCCTCCTCCATTAAGGGAAACACTGGGTTCCCATACCGATCCCATCAAAATTTTGTTCTGCCTCCTTCCCACTTCCCTGGAGGAGGAGCGCCCAGTGCAAAGACCGGACACTTGAAAACCTCTGCCAGCTTTGCAAAGTACACCCTCATCGCAGCGTTCAACTCCGTCATTGTTGCATATTTTGCCCCAGACCTCAGGTTACACATATGCTTAATGTCATTAGTTCCCACACGAACGCACAGCTGCGTAAATTGGAAGTCATCGTGCAGGCGCAAATCTTGGTACACTCGACGACGCACATCCTCCGGCGTCCACTGGCTTTTCGAAGATCTAACAACAGTGGTTAATCCACTTACACCATACTGCAAACACAAAATTCATCAATCAACAATATCTAACAACCTTCCTTTTTCCAACCAACCTGATACACCTCATAAGGCATCCCCTCTGTCAAATGCCGAAAATCATAAGCTGGTGGAACGTCCTCCAACGCCCCAACTCTTGTCAGAAACGCCTTATCTGGATCACACAGAAACCAGACAGCCACCAATGACGTCCCGAAAACCAAAACCTTCTCCTTGCCGTCATCTCCCATCCGTTTTTCACCTCCGATTCCATAATAATCATTGATATACCGGACACTCTGCACTGCAGTCCCTGGCACAGGCAACCGCATACTCCAAACACGGCGGAAGTTCCTCTCCGAGATTCCCATGCGCACACATACGTTCTTGATATACTCCGCCTTGTCCTCAGGCTTGAATACCCAATCTCCAACAGCACCTTCACAACACAAAAACATTGTACAAACCACTTCTCCTCACACACACTTCAAACCAACCTCCAAAAAACAGATCCGCCATCGTCCTCCTTGAACTCCTGGACAAAAATACTGAGGACCCTTCATCATCTTCCTCGAACTCCATCTCTGCCGACACCACCGACGGCCGTGGAACACACCCCATCAAGGGACTAGCCACTACTGCATCCAGAACAACCTTCAATGCTTGCTGCGACTCGCCCTCCTGTCTTCTCGTTTCCTGCACTGATCTCCCGCCATCCATCACCTTCACCTTGTCCATCCATACTTCCATCATGTCAGAATCCGGACCAACAACAATCTGCACGCCATCGCCTCCACGGACACGATAAATTTTCACCAATCCTACACATACAACTCAATCTCAAACAAACAACCAAACAACAATCCTCAAAGGCAAAACAAATCAATAACCTTCTTCCTTGCACGTCACCACCGAGTTTGGCAGCAACAAGGGGAATTTACCACCAATCGAGCTCTTCAAGGCTGCCACACTTGCAGCGACCGCCATTGAAAAGGCCTCCTTGGCCTGAGCTGTAGCCGCCGTTGCCATTGTCCCTGCACTTTCCAGAAACGCCTGATCCTGCTTCATCTGCTCCTCCACAGCAGCACGACGCCTCTCCAATCCAGCAGCCTCATCTTCCATTTGCTGGTTGTCAATCCTCAGCTCCTCCACCCGCTTTTGGTTTGCAGACAGTGACTGCTCCAGCCCAGCTCGCACAGCATCGGTACAAGCCTGAGTATCAACCACTGGCACCAACGTATGAATCCGAGCCCAGCGATCTGCGTCAAACCTTGAAAACGTTTCAGCAAGCTCCCGCACAGCTCCTGGAAACTGCACCTCCCTGTCAGCTCCGACACGACGAGCCAACTTTGGCGTAGACGGCCCGGGCACGGCCTCCAACCTCTTCACCACCGGCAACAATGGCAGGCTGAACACGCTCAACGGCGTACTCCGCCCATCATCCTCCAACTCTGCCATCTCTGGAAAAAATCACAAAAAATAGCATGCGTCAAAAAAAGGATCAATAATAAACTGTTCCTTCCAAAATACCTCGCTCAATCGAATCCTTTTGTTTGCTCATTGTTTTTCTTCCTACTCCCCACAGACAAAAATCCGCACAACCTGGGAATCAAATAAAGAAATACCTGCAATTACTGCTGTTCAAACAACCTGGAACCTGCAACATTCAACATCTACAATTACTGCTGATCAACAAATACTAATTTGCTATTACTAATTACTTGCTGCACCCCCATTACAGGGTAGCATGTCATTACAAATTACCAAAAAGTACCCCCATTACAGGGTCACAAATCAAAACAACCATCACAAAAAAACCGCCGAAACCGCCAAACAAAACACATCACTGGAACCCCCAATACAGGGTCGCCCCTACATCGCACCCCCATTACAGGGCCACGGACACACAGTTGCCTTTCCTGCAAAACACCAGAACAAAACATCATCAACCTCCCAAAACTCCACTGAACAAAATGCACACAATGGAAACCTTCAACAGTCAATTTATACCCTCGAAATCCACAACAACCGCCAACAACTTTCTCCCCAATCCACATAACCGAAATCCACAAAGCAGCCTAAACACACAACTCCAAAAACATCACCAAACCTGAAATCCCACAAAAACCCTAATCCGAGTGAAAGATGAAAGAGGTGTTTTGGCCCTTGGCGTGCTTGGAGTGTTTGGCCGTAGAACCTTATGTTACCTGAGGATTGTTCGGAGGCAGTACCGCCGGCTTGGCCAGGGACTGACACCCGAACTCCGTCCCGCCATCTATCCGATCAAGCCCAGGGGGGTTTTGTCAGGGACCCCTAGAGGTCGCCCAATAGAACCCACACACCTTTGCCACACAACAAGCCACGAACACCGAAATCAAATACCTAAAAACACACCTAGCCAACACTCCAAACAAGTCTTCCAAAACCGGATCCTTCTTCCTGAAGCCAAGATGAAATCCGCGGAAGAAACTTCACTTCATCTCAAACGTCGGCTGCGAGAACTTCATTTTTTCGTGCTTGATTTGTGAAACCTGTGAAATCATCAATTTATTAACAAGTGCGAAATAACATAGTTCCTGGAGACTCAGTCTCGGCTGCAAACGGCCTATCGCGCATTTCTTTCATTTCATTAAAAGTTTATTTCGTCACTGACCTAAGGGTCTCTGACACCTTTTTCACAGCTTCATAGTGTTCATACTTTTTCTCAAAAGAATGCAAGAATATAGTGTAATATTCCTTGTCCACTGGTCCCTCAAAATAGAACATTCTTGAGGATGGAAAGGAATCATCAACAAATTGCTATTAAAGTAAGATTCTCCCTAATTGATTGCAAATTTTTGAATGTTTCTTTGATAATCATTTCCTTTTATGGAATACAAGAAATCCTATCTCTGTATATGCAGCTTCATAACCTTTTCCCTGATTACCAAACTTGATGTCACTTGAAAACATCCATGACAATACTGCCATGGGTTGCATCCATATTAGATATTTTCTTTTGAAAATAATTGAAGTGATGTTTGCTTCAAAATGAAAGATTTTTACAAGCCCTTCTTCAGAAGTTAGTTTCCTTTGAAGGTTTGCAATACTTTGATACTCCATGTCTATGTGAAAGTCAAACTCTTCATTATTTTCTTTGTCCTTGAAAACAATCAAATATTTCTTATTTCCCTTCTTGTTGCATTCCAATGCTGGAAGAGTTGCTACTGTTTTTAATACTGTCTGGAAAAACCTTTCAAGAAGAAAAATACAGAACAGGCTTAACGCAATTAAAAGCAAGAAGGAATATATAGTATCACAATTAAATCATATTTTTTTCAATGTTAGTCAAATTTCACATGAACTAATTACAAGAGGAACTCACAAGAATTTTCCCAATTATCTGAAGACAAAATGACTTCTATTAATTGCATGTCCACTTCCCCTTGGAATACAAATGTCTGCCATTTCCATGTGTCTTATATAATTGAAAACTTGAATAGAAAAATAATAAATGTTCTCCTAATGATCAAAACAGCCAAAACCAATACAATTATGGTTCCTTACACTAGAACGACCCCAGTACTTGTAACTTGTGCTACATTTTTGCAAAAAGAGGAGTGTTCTTGAATTTGTGCTTCTTGATTATTTGATGGAACTCAAAAACAAATAAAATTATTGTATATTGTGAGCACTACTACTGAAAAATGAATCAATGGAACTGGGAACCAATGAATGTGCTGATGGAACCTCAAACCTCACTGGATGCAGCAGCAATTGATTCCATAAGCTGGCAAAAATTCTGCTTAATACATCTTCAGCTCAAGTTCCAGTCAAAAAGCAGAAATGTCTTCAACCAAGAAACCAAAACCTACTTCTATCAAGACCTGCTTCAACTATTATCCTGAACATCAACTGAAGACTCCAAAGCCTGTTCCAGCCAAAAATGCCAAGCCTGTTCCAGCAAAGAATCTCAAGCTTGTTTCATCAAAGAATCTCAAGCCTGTTCCAGCAAACAATCCCAAGCCTATTCCAGTTTCAAAAGAACATGTGACTGTCCTCATCATGAACAAATTACCACATCACAAGCCCCAACAATTGAATAATTCCACATCACAAGCCCCAAAAATTGGAGAATTCCACATCACAAGCCCAAACAAAAAGCCACCTCTTTGGACCACTTCAACAGCAGTGCAGCTTACTTCATCTAGTGACCTTCTGCTTGTTTTATTCTTTTTGTGATGTTTCTGATTTGCAGTTTTTTTTTGCTAGCTTAAACTTGAGGTACATTTGTAATATTTCTCTGCTGAAAATAACCAGGTGGCTGCATACCATAGCATGTCTGATGTCTGGCCCCCTCTCCAGATTAATTTATACATGTCCAAAGCCCTTTTCTGAAATCATCCTGAATTATGAATGATTATTCTTCAGCAAAATATCATACCTTTATCAAGGCACTTTGTGGCAGAAGCCAATATATTTTATCATAACACTCTGGCACGCAGATTCCAAACCAGCTGCCTTGAGTTAATCTGCTTTCTGTTGTGAAAAAAAAGCCAGCATCAGGATTGTCTTGAACCATTGAATAGAAAAGCAGTGCTTTTCTTCTTTGTGCCAGGTGAATGTTTTCCAGATGAACTTTTGGTCATCCCCTGGTCCCAAAAGAACCAACTGCTTTTGGGTTTAAATATTCTGCCCTCAACAAGAGGCAGTAATTTATGCTGGCCAGCCTTGGGCAACATTGTTGCAAGAGGCTGATGATGGAAGCAGATAAAAAACCTTTCCATCCAGTACTGGATTGGATCTTCATGTTTCTTATTACGATATTGAATATAAGTGCCTTGAGTAAAAAGAAAGTAATCATTCATGAATGGGTTTCCCCTTCTCCTTTTATGTTGCTGAACAACACAAGACTTAAGCAAGAATAGTAAAATATTCTTGCTGCATGCCCTCATTTCCATGACCCCTCAGTGAAGCCAAAAATGTATTCCTCAAGCTTCCCTTCTTCAGTTGTGTGTGTGTGTCCTTCCAAGCAGGTACCTGCCATACATCTCAGAGCAGAGTTAGGTTTCTAGAGTTGAAAAAATATGGAAGGGAATGTTGTTTGGAAAATTATTGGGAATAAAGTCTGTCTTAGAAGTGAAAAGAACTTTGTCTACTTTTCTACAGCTGCTACTAGGAGTTGATTAAAATTAAATCAGTCAACACTCTTTTAACAATCCTCATAAAGGTTGACAAGACTAGGGAACTAGCCTGTGAGTTGTAAAATTATGAGTGTATGACAACATAAATTAAACTTGATGATAGAACAGGAAATGTTGGAACAATGTAATGAAGAAGAAATTAATTTTCAATAGAACAATTGAAAACTACTTGAATTCAGTTCTACATTCAAATTTGGTTGTTTTGCAATACCCAAAAGCTGGATTCCCCCTCTTGAACATATGACCTGTTCTTTTCCAAGCAAATTTTTTTCCGAGTTCACTGAATTTTTTTCTTTTATGCCCGGATGGCCGGATGTGGCTGGGCACCCCCAGCTGGTCTGAAATAGAAGTTGTTTATTCAATTATACATATGCATGTTTTTCTTGGCTGCCTTGGTGATTTCTGCCAAGCTGTCACACATAACATACAGCCTGAACAATAGAATCACAGGTGGAGTGTTGGCCTAATGCTCTTCTCAGGTAGATTCTGTGTACAGTGAGATTGCCAGATGTGGACAGAATTGGTGCATCAAGAGAGTCCCTAAGTTGAATGGTCCCTAAGTACAGTCTTGTTTTCCCATAGACTTACATTATTTAATTTTTAATTGGTGTTTTATGGAAGAAAATTTTCTTCAGAATTCCATGAAAAAATTTTTTGCCACTTGAATTTCTTTCAGTAAATATATTTTCAACTCAATAAGAACATTTTGAGCATTGAATTTTGTATCTCTGTACTGTACATTGAAATGTTGGCCTCTACAAAAATAACATTCAAGTCAAAAAGAGAGAAGGAAGTCCCTTTAACAATATATATTTTTAATTAGCTGAATGGATGAGAAAATGATGGGAGAAATGACAAAGAATTTTGCTTGCATAAATTTCAGGGTTGGTAATTGCAATCAATTTCTTACCATCAAGTTGAATAAAAGTCAATTTTTGTGAAATTCATTAGTAATTTTATGATGCAATGTTCTCATGTTGAATTCGTACATGCCTCTTTTATGCCCTTTTTATTTAAAAAAAATGAAAATCTCTGTGTCAAATTGTCCTCATGTCAAGGTATCCACAAGTTATATGGGGATCTCACTGTATTTTTGCATATGGGTGCCCTGAACAGAAGATCGGGGGTGCTTTGTTCAATAAATCAAGATTTCAGCGTCACGAATGTGAACTGCAACAACAGCGATGTTACTTTGAGCATGCAGCAATTTCATTTTCGTGCATATTCAACCTTCTTATTGGGCTTGGCGAAGATGAGGGAATCATGAATTTCACGGACAGTCCATCGATCGACAATAAAGTAAGGGACAGCATTGAAGTGCGGTTATGTCTTGGGGAACGACTGTTTTTTCACGTTACAGTGAATACAAGTCTCCTTTTAAAAAAAAAAATTGTGACGTGGGAAAAGTTGTTTTCTGCCGGAAAATATTCCACAGCGAGATTGTTGATGGCTGATTTTGGTGGTCCTTAGTGCGAACAGCGCGGGCGAGAAAAGCTTCACCCAACTCTATATGGAACAATCTGCCAAAAAGAAGCTGCTCACTGCAAATTTCAATTCTTTTTTCACACGTTTCCAGAGTTTCACCAATATTATTAATTTGTATCTGGCTGTTTCATTCATGCTTTCTTCACACCAGCAGCAATGTTGGCATATAAAGAACAGTAAAAGCGTGGCGTTGTCGGTTTCTTCGCTTCTCAGGGCTCGTTTCCTTGCTGAGGCGCTTTTCCGCTACAGATAATTGCCCATTATATCAGGAAAGCTTTTCTGGATTCAGCTATTGATTTGGCTGGGTAATTTTGGGTGGGTGTATACTCAGCAGATTGCATGTGTCATCGAGCAGCGACCAGGGCAACCACAGGAAATCGAAAGCCTTTTTTTTGCGTTTGTTCACAGGTAAGTAAATCCGAATAATGTCCTTCAAGATCAAGAAGGGATGAGCAGCTTTTCGCTTTCTGACGGAAAGAAATATCAGCTCTTGGATGTGTCATTAAAAAGTTTTTTGCGCTTGTTTTTTTACAGATTTTCCAACATTTAATCTTGACTGGCCAAGTACTAATCTGCTAGGGGTGAGTTTTTTGAATACCAGTCTTTGACATTCCATCTGTCTTTGTATCAAAGAAGACAAAGAAAAGATTTTGTGATGAGAATCCCGTGCAAAAATTAATCCCGCACAATCAGATCTCTGCCTTCGTGGAAAAAAATTCGGAGTCTAGAAGGTGGTTTTTCTGAGTTTATATTTAGAACGAGAAATT